GACCCATACTGCAGGAAAAAGCTATTCAATTGTATGAAAAAATAAAGAAAGAAGGAGAGGCAACATTCGTGGCTAGCATCGGCTGGCTAGACCGATGGAAAAAACGGTATGGAGTAAGGCAACTAGCAATATGTGGCGAAAAACTTTCTGGTAACGATGAAAGTGTTCTGAAATTTAAGGAAAACTTTCAAAAGCTTATTGAAAGTGAAGGACTGTCTTGTGAGCAAATTTACAACTGTGACGAGACAGGACTGAATTTTCGTATGTTACCTGAGAAGAGCTTAGCTTCAAAACAAGAGAAATCTGCTCCAGGGTACAAAAGAAGCAAAGAAAGAGTTACGATTATGGCCTGCAGCAACGCAACTGGTGAGCATAAGTTAAAGCTTTGTTTTATTGGAAAAGCTAAAAAGCCTCGTGCTTTCAAGAATATACAAAACTTAAATGAACTTCCAGTTTGGTACACAAACCAATCTAATGCCTGGATGGATGGAACAATTTTCAAAAATTGGTTTTACAATCAGTTCGTTCCGTCTGTAGAAACTTTTTTAAAATCAAAGAATCTTGAAAGGAAAGCCATTTTGATTCTGGACAACGCTTCCTCACACCCTGATGCTGAAGAGTTAGTTGATGGCAACATAAAAACGATGTTTTTACCACCAAATGTGACTGCACTATGTCAGCCTATGGACCAAGGTGTTCTAGCCGCAATGAAAAAAAGATATCGGCGCAAACTTCTATCAACTCTAGTGACGGCGATTGACGAAGGCCAAGAACTAGTGAATAGGCTTAAAAAGGTTGATTTGCTGGATGTTATTGGATGGGTTGCTGAGTCTTGGGATGAGTTAGAGCCAATAACATTAGTGTGATCCTGGAAAAAACTTCTGGATCATTCAGGAAATTCGTTTACTGATGTCCCAAAGGAGGAAGATTCTGCTTTAGTTGATCTATTAAAGAAGATTGCCGGCTGTGAAAACTTCAGTGATGGGGATGTACAGGAATGGATGGACCAAGATGCCACGGAGAATGCTCTTTCCGATGACGAAATTGTCACCATGGTGAAAGAAAAGGAACAGCCTGAAGAAAGCGAATCAGAAGACAAAGACGCATGTGACACTCAAGAAGTACAAAAAATGAGCCACAGTGAAGGATTAAAAGCTGTTGATGGGGCCTTACGATATTTTGAGGAGCAAGGAGCTTCACCAATGGACATATTGTGTCTTCGCCGCCTTCGAGATGTAGCAGCAAAGCGCAGAGTTCAGTGTGAGAAACAAATGAGCATTAAAAACTTTTTCTGCAAAAAATGAATTAGGTTTTTATTTGAACTGTACTGAGTTTTCCTGGTGTGTACTGTACTTATTTATCTTGTCTATAAAAGTACGTAATATATACTGTACAATATGTATAGGCCTACAGAATACATTCTTTTTATTTCTTATGACTTAATACTGTAAAAATAAAAAACGGCGGTTAAAACGCTTAAAAATTGTATTGTTCTTATTTTTAACCCTAGTTCCCGATAACCCGGCATTTCACAAACTCGGCACCCTTACAGTCCACATTACGCCGGGTTTGCGGGACTCTACTGTACTTAAATGAGTTATCATTTTCTTAGCATAAACTAACATTTTGGAATCCAGACAGAAAAAGCAAAACTTATACAGTTAAGACATCAATTAAATTGAATACGGCTTTAATACGACTGTATAAATAAAGGGCAACACCAACGATAACTAATTTGTAAATTACAGTGATGTGTTGGTACGTAAAAATGATTCTTGCTGCTACCAACGATTCTAAGGATAAGAACCAGTACCAAAAACCAACGTTTACAGTTAAGAATTACGTCCGACCAATTAAATGCGTTAATCAACTCCCAAAGTTATTGATTTCTTGGTTTTGGATTTTCTCGTAAAAAATTGTCGGCAATCAAAGCTATTTCCCATTAGTTGCTTTATTCGTAAACAACTTATAATGTAAACTTATTGGTGTCAGTTTGAAAAAAAAAAAAAAAAAACAACCTTATACAAACAACTTTTTGTTATTTAATAGATTACGTATTCTCTAAACAATGATTGGTATATCTTTTAACATTAGAAGGAAATGTGACAAAAAGTAGCGGTATCAAGGATCGTCGTCGAAAATGTTGTTATGAATAATTGGGTAGGCCTAAGTACCCAAGAGATGGGCTATGGGCCTATTGGCTGTATGGTCTAACCAACGATTGCATCACACGGTGAGTAGGAACAGAAAGTGACACATTGGAAAAGCGAGTTTAGCATCATCCATAAACCGTAAACCTCTGTTACAATCACCCACTGCAGTTGTGATTTTTTACTTTACACTTTACACAACCGCCATTGAAGTGCCGTCAATGAGTGGAAACCTTTTTGTAAGCTATTGGCGACGATCATTAATAAATTTAAGTTTCCCAGCCGTATACAACACTGATTCAAGGTCTTCTTTCTGGTTATTAAAACTCAAGAACAATTTTATACACAAAGAATCTCTGGATCCTGACCTGGATGATGCCTAGTTATTTAATTTAATTTACGGTTACACTAAGAACACTTGGTTATTCTTCACTATGTTGACTTTGTTATTCCACTTGCGATTAATTAAATCCGTTATGTAAGAAAAACGTTTTTAATCTCACTTGGATGGGGTTTCCCTTCAAAATGTGATCGGAAATGGTGTCGGTATTTTTAAACAACATATCAGTGACAGCTAGAAAAAATAATCTTGATCCGAACAGCTGTTCGTTATTTCATAGACGATTATGTGATAAAAATTTGACGAAAACTTGACAAAAATCGCACAAAACTGCATTTTTGAACGTCCGTAATTTTATTTACAAAGTAGTGAGGCCATATTTTAATGGCTAAAGACAGTCTCGCCAATCCAGTGAACACATTAAAATGACTTGGATCTTGATAGGCACTCTTGTTTTCCTGGAGAAGATTGCGTAAATTGCCATCTTGAGTGTTACAGACAGACAGAAATTTAGATGAGACTTGTTTCGGCTTCTTTAATGTATAAAACATAAAAATAACCTAAAAATTTATGATTCAACGCGATGTACAGACAAAACTCTATTTTATTTATATAGATGCCAGAGGAAATAAAAAGGAAGCAGTTCTAAATTAGTTTCATACCGATGAATTACATCATAAAAACTGTGCATAGTGTTCACACTGCAATGGATCCTAAAATACATTGTCAGGTAAATGAGATAGCCAAACATTGATATCTGTTTCATTTTTCCAAAGTGATTTTATTAATTTGACTGCAGCTAAAAATATTCTAAGTAATTTAGTAGACTAGGTGAAACCCGTCGAAATCGACGGTTACTTTCAAGGCTTACGCTTATTCATCTAACTGCGGTAAATTGGGTGAAATTATACATATTTTGAGTATTTAGCATTGTTTAAAGATTAATAAGTGTAAAAAAAAAATGATATTAATTGCGTCAGTTACCAAATATGGTTTATCATTAAAAGGAATATGACCTTTCTGTCATGACAGTAGCTGCTTAAATAGTATTTACTCATTGGGCCTTTTTACAGCCAAAATGTTGTGTTATTTTCAATAATGTTACCAACCCAGTGGGCCACGTCCATAATATAGGCCACTGCAAATAATCTGTCAAGATAGGTTCTATTTTAGGCAAGGTTTCTGTGTTTGGATGTTATTAGAAACGGTAAGGGCACAATACAATTTTTCTGATGCAGATGAATTTTCTGTTGGAGAAATATAAATTATAAATTAAATTATAAATGTCACAATGCGAGTTTGAGCATTGTGTAACTATATTATAAGTTGCATAGATTATTTAGAATGCTGCTCAGTGCACTTTAAGAATATATAATTTAGAGATAAATTAAATGGTTTTTTTTTGCTGAGTAGCGATAGTAAACATGCACAACCCTTTTTGTTAGTCTAATAACATTCAAAGGCTCTCTAAGAGTTCAAGTTCTTATTTGTATACATATCTATATTATGTTTTCAATAAGCTGAATGAATCGAAGTAATCTCTCTGAAAAGTCTGCAGTATATTGCAGTTTTCCAGCTTAATGACTTTCTAAATCATGCACATATTTCTACATGAATATTGTAAAATGTTTAATCCAGTTGCTGTAAACCAATATTAATTTAACAAAACATGGACACGGCTCAAATGGGCACGGTGCCCATCTGCACTTGTATTATTTTTTCGAATGTATTACACAATCGAAGATTTTTCCAATGATTAAAAGCATGTATGACAATAATCTCGTAAACCTATCTCTCTAGAATAATATGGTAAAATATAGGGAAAGGTGTGAAAAAGGCAGACACCAACCCGTAAAATAGATAGTTAAATAATAAATAATTGTAAGAGTTATTGTGATCAAAGGATTTTCCACAAATTTTGTAATGGAACTTCATATTGCAACACATGACATGATACAGAAGAAAATCAATTTTTAAATCAGAAAATAACATTGCAAATACTTCTTTTGGATTATTCAGTAACTCCCAATAAATGTGTGCAGTTTAAAGTACAGTTTTAAAATTAACAGCTGTTTTGTTAAAAAGTAATTATACATATGGCCAAAATGTAAACAAATCTGTGGAGGGATCTTTAAAGGCTTCTGGGGCAGAGCCCTAAGCGAATTCACTTCGTTTTTCTTTTGATAACTCGTCTACAGACCAAGACCTTTCTTTGGACACCCCTACCAAGTTTTTACGCCCAGCCGTTCTCTCAAATTAGTGGAGACAAAGTTTCCAATTAAATATTTAGATTCCCCCATGTTAATCTTATGGGAGAAAACTCAACTTTGATGGAAGATCCTGCCCAAACTAATAAAGATATCAAAAAACGAAAAACACTTTGCAAAACTATAGATCAGGGCAATTTTTTGGACACTTTAATCATCAAAATCGGTCCAAAAATGAGGGAGGAGTTCTGTTCACAAAAATCGGCTTAGCGTATTATATATATAGATAGATAGATAGATTACCTTGGAAGTTAGAAGGGTGGGCAGAATGCAGTCATTGGATTGTTGCTTTTTGGGGGTGAGAGCCTTGCGTACGTGTTGCAGCTTGCGTTCTATGCTGTTCAGAAGCCGTGAGCTCGGCGATGACACCCTGTTGACTGGGGTACTGGGTGTGCTGCAGATCAACAATATGTGTATTAAGATTAAGTGAACAAATTTTGATTTTATTTTCAAATGCATTACTTATACTTTCCTGGAAAATATTCACAGAAAAAGTAATTTGTTTGTTTGGAATAGATTATAAACAGCATCTAATATGAGTCAATAAAAAATACAATTGAACCGCTTATTATTGGATTTATTAAAAGTTAAAAGCTCGTTGCAGCAAATGTACAGTATGATAAAAATGTAATCAACAGACTTCAGTTCACATTACAGATTATAGAGGAATTGTCTAAAGAATGGCTCGAGTGAAGAAATGTACCTGATTCTCTTGTAGGAGGAGACCATCGAGTTGAAAGATTTGGTATGGAAACTCTTCCTGACAGAAAAGAAAGGAACTGTTGGGTGTGCAGTCCAATTAGTTTGTCAGCAGGAGGGAAAAGGAAAAAATCAAGAACTGTGTGTGTACGTTGCCAGAAAGGAGTACACCCGGTGTGCTTCGGACAACACAAGTTAGGAAAAAGCAATTTGTTTGTAAATATTAGTTTTAGGGCCTAGTGGTTTTTTCATAAGAAAGATGTTTTAAGTTTTTATTCAAGTATTTTGTTCAAGAACATAACTTTTTGTTGAAATGAACAGTGGTTTATTGAATTTGTTTGGTGTAGACTGCATCACCAGCTTATTTTTCAAGGTAAGACTATGAAATTTAGACAAGGTTACTAACAACTGCATGTACTTTCAGGAAATAACACTGAATGCTATGAAATATTTTTTACTTTCTCCACATATACCATAGTAGGCCCTATATGGAGAAAGTATTGTTTTCGTCAAAATTTTCGAGTTTGAGTTTTGAGTGTATATATTTGTTTTGGGCCCCCCTGGACCCAAAAAAGTGGTTTTCGAAGTGATGTCTGTGTGTGTGTGTCTGGATGTGTACAGAGGCTAGGGACTACACATGTGGTCCAATTTTGATGCAATTTGGTATGTAGGTTCTAATCCATGGTATCTCCAATTTTTTGAAATTTAGATTTTTAATGGGGATTTTCCCATAAAAAGTTGGAAAAATCGGATTTTCTCGAAAATGGCCTGAACGATTTTGATAAAAATTTAGTATGTTGTAGCCCTCTAAATACTGAACAAAATGGTACAAATCCAATTTCTGTAATAATTACGGTTCAAAAGTTATGGTAAATTATGTTATTTTCCCATAAAACCCCATAAAATAACGAAAAATAGGATTTTAGACAAAAATCCCGTTTTGATTTAACATAGTATGTTATGGTCCTTACAATTTTGATAGTCTTTTTTCATTTTTTTGAAATTTTAATTTTTAATGGGGATTTTCCCATAAACCCCCATAAAATAACGGAAAAATAGGATTTTCCCAAAAACTGCCTGAACGATTTTGATAAAAATTTGGTATGTTATAGTCCTTTATATTCTGAACAAAATGGTGCAAATCCCATTTCTGTAAAAATTACGGTTCAAAAGTTATTGTAAATTATGTTATTTTCCCATAAAACCCCCATCAAATAACAGAAAAATCGGATTTTCACAAAAATGGCCCGAACAATTTTGATAAAAATTTAGTATGTAGTCCTTTAAATTCTGGACAAAATTGTACTAATCCCATTTCTGTTTATTTACTCTCACCGCTTACACATGATAAAGGTTGTTGACAAACTTATGGGAGAAAGTATGTGTCAGAATGCTGATACCGTTTATTTTGGAATGTAGTTATTGTAAGTCAAAGTGCAAATTTTATATTTTTACCATATTACACACAATATTTTAGATTTTTAGATTTTTCAAAAAAATGTTTTGTTACAATTATATTTTTGTATCATTTTGTAGGCAATTTCATTTACAACTAAACAAAAAAAAATTAAAAGATCCCTTAACAAATAAAAAAGTTAGAGCTATTTTTCTGCAACACTGCAATTGTATAAAAATTGGCCTTGGCGTTTTTAGCATAGCCTATATTTAAGTAAAATAGCTGGCGGCAAAGGGTTAATGAAGTTAGAAAATTGACTCATGTCCGAAACTTGTTATTTACATAAGAATAAAAATATAATAATGCCAGGGTGCTAAATGGTGTTTAATTTGCTACTTTATAATTATGTATGAATGTAGGTATGAAATAAGACATAATAAATAAAATCAAAATGTTTGGTTTTTCAAATATTTGGTTAACAAATTATTTAAGATTAAATCTTTTACCTTCTATTTGATTTTTTAGGTGTCTGGAATCCTTCGTTGGGAGTGATTTCTGTAGCTGCGACTTTTTTTGGGACTGAAACAAACCGTGATAAATTACTACTCTGTAGTTAGCCATGCTATTGATAGTTAAGTATACTACAGGTCATTATTATGTCTAAACTTACTCGGAGACGCTGAAGGCTCCCTTGTGATGCTTCTCTGACGCTTCCTCAGCACTCGACTCCTGGTGAGCTCAGGAGGCAGCATCATGTTGCTCTCATTTTCCTTCTCTGTCTTTTCTGCAACAACATGGACAAACATGAGACATGCATTTCTCATGCAATAAATTATTTGCCAAATGCAATTGGTGTACACTTGGTCATGCTTAGTCTTAACAAAATAAAACATTTGTTCTAGCAATAGAAATGAGTTTATCATCAGTGTGCGTGCGCAAGCCACCAAAGATACAACAACTAGGAATAACTCTTCAAGCTGAGCTGAAAATAACATCTTTGTTTAATTCTAAAGATCCAACCACCTTTCCCTTTCATTTGTCTAGCTGGCGGTGTGGGTTCTTGGCGATGGCGGAGTTCTTTGTTATGAATGAGTGGTTAATCCATAAACCTGCCAGCTTGACTTCCAACATAGGCCAGTTCCAACACCAAACCAACAATGATACACATAACACTTGCAAGATCCTTCTCTTGGCCTGAATGGAACTGCTATAACGCAAATTGGTAAGTTTTTCTCATCCGAGTTGAACAGGGACATCTAGTTTATCATTCCAGCCAAGCTATTAATAAATGTAACCGATTTTATCGGAATTGAATTGATCAGCTCACATTAATTAAAACAATTCACTTATTTATGAACACATCTCACCTGGAGTTTTTTCAGTCTTGGGAAGCTTGACAAAAGTGCCTTTAGGATTGATGTCTCCGCCAACAACAGCTCTTCTCATACTCTAAAAAAATTTTAATTCTATATTGTTGACAGTATGTGCTGAGAAAATTAGAATCGATTAACTTTACGGAGTTGAATTTGGAAAGGGATTAGTTCAGTTTGGTTACCTGAGGAATTACTAAACTTTTAGAAAGAAAACCAATATCCCATTACATTTAGTCCAGTGCAATTAGACAAAAAATGACCTTGACCCGGACAAAATTGATAACAGGCTGAAAATTGGTGGAAACGTTCAGAACAATGTCCTGAGTGGCCCACAAAAAGTCCCAAGAAATCCCAGTTGGGGAACGGCCGCCATCTTGAAAAAACTGCCGCCATCTTGGAAAATTAGATTTTTTGCTGTATTTTTTGAAGTAATAGTCCGGAAGGCATTATTTATGTCTCAAATTAAGCGTTTTGAACTCATGTATGAGGGCAGTATATAATTAAAGAGCTTAATACGTTCTAAGCATAAATATTATTTATATTAACCTAAAAATATATCTATAAAAATCATATAAATGTACAAAATATTTAAAAAATGAAGCTTTTTCTCTTTTGTTTTTAGTGGACTTGTTAAAGACATTAACCCTTTTAAATTTCTTGCAATTCACTATGTTTAGTCTTTGGAATTGGTTAAATAAGGGGTGAATAAAAAGTCAAGACCCCCCCCCTCTAATAATGTTCTAAGTAAATATACAGAAATATCCTTTTGGTGTTGTTGAAACCATAGTAGGAAATTTCATTTGATGATTTTGAAATTTTTGAGTGTCCCCCCCAAAAAAAGGAGATTTTGAGGACAACTCAAAAATTTTAAAGTATATCCTATTCAAGTGACACCTCATCTTGAAGTGTTTACAAAAAACTTAAAGAATGGTGAAAACCAGAGTTCGCTATATCTTCTCTATCCAAAATGGTAGCCCGTCAAAAGTTTAATGACGATATTAAATGGGAACTTACTACACATTAATTTTCTTGTGTAGTAAAAAGTAATTCCCCCCCCCCCTCTAATTTGTTCCTAAGTAAATATTACAAAGTAATCCTTTTAGTGGTGGTGCAACCTTAGCAGGAAGTTTCATTTTATGATTTTAAAATTTTTGAGTACTCTCCTCTGTCCAAAATGGTAGCCACTATTACAATTACGAACCAATATTACCATTGATGTTCCATAACGTTTGACGGGCTACCATTTTTAATAAAGATAAATTGGAAACTCTGGTTTTCACCATTCATAAAGTTTTTGTAATCACATTAAAATGAGATGTCACTTGAAGGGGGTTTACGTTTAAATTTTTGAGTTTCCCCCAAAATCCCCCTTTTTGGGGAATATTTAAAAATTTCAAAATCATAAAATAATACTCCCTGCTAAGATTGGACGACCACCCAAAAGGACATCTCTGTATATTAACTTAGAAAATATTAGAGAGGGGGGTATTGACTTTTTATTCACATAGATGCTGTAATTTGCTATTTATTTATTTATTAATTCCAACAGCAAGATCACTAATTTACAATAGGGATTCAAGAAGCCTAAGTAGTAACAACATGCATTTTAACAGAAAACTTAACTAACTTAAATCTATGGCAGGAGCAGAGCAACATCGGTAACAGGAAATATAATCTTGCCTAAGAAAAGCAACAATTTAACAATGAAGTTAAAAATAAATTATGAAAAAGCAATTAATAATTTCGTTTGTTCTGATCTGAAAAATAGAATCATCTAGTTGCTATAATTGATTACCATTATATTTTAATATTGCATATAAACTTACAATGTAACTACTCGCTGTTAAATAATATTGACGGTGTTGTAATCTTCTTTGTAACTAGCGCGGTTGGCACATCCGTGTCCAGTGCAGTATCCATGCATCGTGGTACAATTAAGACCATAAGGTTCCATAAGTTGTACTGTTTCCAAGAATCCATTTCAACATGGACTTGGTTTGTGCGTATTTTAACCAAATATGAGTGAAGGATGAGTGTAGGATGAGTGGCGAGATCTTGTAGTCTTGTCTCAGTTGGTAGTTAATGAGCCATATGGTGTCAGCAAGACAAGCATCTACAACTATTTTTTGTTCGGAAAGGGCTGTACTGACATCTCCCAACACTACTAAAGATGTCACAGGCTGAGGCGGACGTTGGTAAGGTGTCACTGGCTGAAAGCCATGAGATAGAAGGACACTTTTTGCTTTTGGGATGTACAGGGATTTTGGGATGCTTTTGCTGATCGTGGTACAGGAGCACTTGCATTGACACATTTCGGCTGGTGTTATGCACTCAATGCCACCCATGGCGTGAAGAGTACCATGTCCATAAAGTGTTTCAACGTTGTAATCCACGTTGTCGAAAACATAATGAACGTAAGCTCCGTCATCTATTGAAGGTGATACATTATCAGCTATCGAAGTCTCATAATTGACGACAATCTTGTGTGTCGAGCAAACTCCGAGCTACGATAGAATGTCTAACAGCAACTTCGAGCCATACCGTCTGTGAAGGCCGAGCAGCAGGGGCGATATGAAAGATCGTGGTCGAGCTGCAGTAATAATTGCATGAGCTGTATTAATTGTCTCCTTTTCAAAGCTTTATCATAGTTAAATGGATACTATATTTATATTTAACCAATTCCAAAGACTAAGCATTGTGGGGTGCAAGAAATTTGCAATAGGATTAAGGGCTTAAACAAGTACATTACGAAAAAAGAGAAAAAAGCTTATTTTGTATATTTATATCAATTATTTTAGATGGGGACGCCACTATGTGCGTATTTTAACCAAATATGACTGAAGGATGAGTGTAGGATGAGTGGCAAGATCTTGTAGTCTTGTTAGTGACTAAGGCCGACATGTTCCTTAGGGGAACCGGAGTTTTGCCAACGGGTGTCAGGTAGATGGGGGGATGCCTTCGGCCACCTCTTGGTGCGGAGATTTGCCAACGGTGGTGGTGGGAGAAAGAGTGTGACGGAGGGAGGTAGAGCGATTGTCAGGGTTTGTCTACGCTTGGCAGTTATGCGCTTGTCCCAGTAGGTTAGGTTAGGTTAGGTTAGGTTAGGTTAGGTTAGGTTAAAAATTCAATACATTTCCTTTCACAGTCAGAGGTGCATAACTCCATTACTTTGAACACAGTCAGCATCCTGCCTGGTTTGTCCACCCCTAGCGGAAGCCACCCTCACGGTCACGTGTAATCTCTCTCTCTCCCCCTCCCGCTCTCGCACAACCCACAACCGTTGGCAAAACTCCGCAGTATGTGGAATTCATGGATGGGGACCCTTTCTACCTGATACCCGTTGGCAAAACTCCTACACTCGTTCCTTAGACACAGATGTTAATTAGTAGCACACGCAGCTAATGGCAACTAAGGGGCATACAGTTTATGGAATCCGAACTACATTATAGTACTGCGGATAGTCACTCACTAGTGCGGACGTTAATCCACACCAGGGAGCATCCCATCCACCTTGCATGCCTATAAATATCCACAATTCGTATAAAAATGGGACATAACCGTATCTAAATCATTATTATAGATATTTTTAGGTTAATATAAATAAAACTAATGCTTAGAACATAATAAACTCTTTAATTATATATTACCCTCATACATGAGCCCAAAACGTTTAATTTGAGACATAAATAATGCCTTTCGGACTATTACTTCAAAAGATACAACAAGAAATCTAAATTTCCAAGATGGCGGCAGTTTTTTCAAGATGGCGGCCGTTCCCCAACTGGGATTTTTTGGGACTTTGTGTGGGCCACTCAGGACATTGCTTTGAACATTTCCACCAATTTTCAGCCTGTTATCAATTTTGTCCGGGTCATAACCTAATTGCATTGGACTAATTGTGCTGATATTACTTTTTTATTTATTTTCAAAAAGACAAGAAATAAACATATTTGTTCAGTTACTCTTTTTTTGGTAGTCTTTATTCATACAAAATTTCTTATTTTAGTGAAAACATTTTTATAGTATTAACAGTGTAATGTAGTGTAAGTAGAACATGACCACTCTTAGAAGGTAACACGCCCCGTGGTAAACACTATTTCGGAAGACTATAGTATTTCTACAAGAGTACAGGCTACTAATAAACCTACAAGGGCAAGGGATATTTCAAAACTTGAATTTTATTTTTTAGTAATCAGAGCACAGCAATGCAATTAAAATCTAAACCATACCTATAACTACTAACAATATCATTATGTTGTAAACCTACTCTTATTTATAGTACAGGGTGTATACTATTTTATTAAAGTGAAATTCCAGGTTTTTTCCAGGTTTTTCCTGGTTTTTCAAAGTTTTTCCAGGTTCCCGAGTATTTCTTTGGTTCCACTTAAACTACAATCAATTTAAGACTTGCAGCTTAAGTATTCAATATAAACTTACATCAAATTTGTTTCAAAGTCCATAGTGAGCTAGTGTTGAAAAAGTAATAATCCTTATTATAGTAATCATTTTCATTATCATCATTACTTAAGGCCACGGAAACATCTTCTCTCTCGATAGCAGCAAAATCCTGAATATTTCCTGCAGTCGTGTGGTCGCTTCCCACAGTGACGTAAACGTCATCACAGTCTTACGTTATCATGGAAAAATCCTGGACATCTCCCGCGGTATGTATACATTATCGCCGTCTCTCGCGATCACGGAAACGTAATCATCGTCATCCACGATCGCGGCTAAATCATGAACATCTGCGGCCGTGTATACATAATCATAGCATCCCGCAGTCACGGAAACGTCATATTCGTCGTCGTCCGCAATCTCGGCAAAATCTTGAATATTTCCCGTGGCCGTGTCTACATCATCGTCGTCTCCCGCGGTCGCGGAAACGTCAACGTCGTTTCCCGCGGTCACGGAAACGTCATCGTCGTCGGCCGCAATCACGGCAAAAACATGAGCATATCACGCGGCCGTGTAGAAATCATCATCGTCGTCTTTCGCGGTCACGGAAACGTCATCGTCGTCTCCCGCGGTCACGGAAACGTCATCGTCGTCTCCCGCGGTCACGGAAACGTCATCGTCGTCTCCCGCGGTCACGAAACGTCATCGTCATCTCCCGCGGTCGCGGAAACGTCATCGTCGTCTCCCGCGGTCACGGAAACGTCATCGTCGTCTCCCGCGGTCACGGAAACGTCATCGTCGTCGCCCGCAATCGCGGCAAGACGCATTTTACGACTACAATCTTCTACCGGGGCTAAAATAAAAATCCCGGAATCGGACCAAAAATCCCGGCTTTTTCCCGGTTTTTTCCAGGTCTCTTCAAATTCAAGGTTATTTCCCGGTTCTCCCGGTTTTCCCGGTTGGTATACACCCTGTAGTAAAAAAAAACCTGAATATAAATTAAAAAAATTTGTTTGATAAACAACATTAAAAAAACATGTTTTACTCTTCAATTCTTTTGTAATTGCAAATAAATATCAACATTTTCCTCCAGATTATTTGATGTGAGACACAACTGACTGACCTGTAGTCTGGTCCGAGCAGAGGGGGGTAAGCTGAGTTGCAAAGGCAGTCCCAGTTTCTTGCGGGCCAGAAGCAGCTGATAAGTGGCACTGTACCAGTCAAACTGTCTCTCCTGCAGCTGTTTCCACAACTCTTCTCCTGACACACGGTAGTACGCTGCCATTGTGTTGAGGCAGTTGTTGTCCAACTCTACCTCCTACAGGGGTCAAACAATAAAGGCAATGTCAAAGTTATTAAAATCCTGATCACTATCTCTTTTAATCTACAATAGGGTCAACATTGACAGTAACATTGGCAACAAATCTAGGAATCATGTGGAAATCTAAAACCGCCCAGCACTTGTGAGGATGGATACAGTTGCAATCCAACATTAATAAATACTACATAGAAGGGCTAACCCACTAGCGCTCGAAAAGTGATTCCAGCCCCCCTCCCCTCCCAGACGGGTGTAAAAACCCGGTTAGTGTGTGGCGTTTTGGTATTTTTGGCACTGCTAAATACAGCAGGGTATAGGCTGCCGGGATGAAATTGGTTTTAGCAAAAATGCTACAAAGTACAAAGTCTCAGACAACTGTAGCAAAAATATCTGTAGCATAATACGAGTAACGTTTGCGCACAATGATTTCAAAAACGGTTCCTATGATTTCCTCTAAATTGTTAGGAATATTTTAGTTTCAGGCTAAGAGCAATATCCATGCTAGCCACTGTTCTAAAAAATTTGTTTTTCGTTAAAAACTTTAAATGTAATTTAAATATATTTAACATTGGTCTTATGGAAAGCTAGGTAGCCATGATAGTTTTACGAAAATGTAAATAAATTAATTGAAACATATGCTAGTACGGTAACAAACTATCTACAGTACAGTGGCAAATAGTGATGGGTTGGTTGGTACCACTTTTCAATGTCGGTTCTGGTACCGGTTTCTAACCAAAATCGATTCTCGGTTCCGGTACTATTAGTATTGGTACCTCATTTTAAATTAGGCTACTTAATTGTTTTATTTTAAAAACAAAATATCCCAATTTCAATTTTAAGACTGATTTTTTTTATTTGTGTAGGTTGGTTGGGTATAAAGAGATTAAGTAAATAAAACTTAGGCCTATCTGTACAAATAACACTTTGACAACCAAACACATTCAAAGCAAAACAATATTTGCCATACCAGAAGTGTTAAATATAAGCCTATTGGTTGAAATGATTCACTGTCAAACCAATAAATTTAACATAGGCTACTAACCTTGGCAGCAAGTACGTAAATATACTGCTAAAAATTTCAAAGGAAGTAATTTTGAGTCATTTTGTACCTATAGCCTGCATCAAGTTAGTTGTAGGCTCCATTATTGAGGGAAACATAGAACAAAAGTATTTATGGATGTTTTGAACTAAACTTTTAAGAAAATAGGAAAAAATAGGCCTATGTACATATTCATTTGAGGTTACAGTTTAAGGTGCAGGCTTGTTGAAAAAAAGATTTAACAAAGACTTAGTTTGGTGACTGTGCTCGTTTTTTTTTAGGCCTAGTGCCTGTACCAGTATTGTGGGTTTAGGCATTGACTATACACCTCTACTAGATTGAACATGTAATGCATTTAGTTGATAACCAGATAGCGGTGCAGTAGCAACGCAACCTATCGTTGTATAACGGAAACATGTGTTCTGTCTGGTGCTGCCCCCGCGTGGAGAATGTGAAAGCTACTAGCACACTACAATGAGAGGAGAGGAGATACGAGACTAGTCGGTCGCCCGCGGGCCCGATGACGGCGGAAGTGATGTAAATAAAACTAAAACCATCACTTCCATTATCTCACCCACACCGGGCTCAACGTCGAGTGACATAACTCTGGCCTCTGACACTGCTGACACCGTCTTCATGTAACGATAGTCAGCTGTTACTATGCAACTTTTGATTAATGAAACATTAAACCATTGGACAAAAGTATTAACTTCCTTGATGTTTTCAACATGACGTGGTTCGGGAACGCCTCGCCATTAATAAATAGATTATTTCAACACCGGATACACATTTAAAAATAAACCTTTCATTAACTGTACTATACAATATAAAATGGCAAAAATCAACATTAATAAATCTAGTTTATGAAACAGCCTGCTGTACACTATTGATTAGTAGTTGTCACAATATCTCAATATGTTGAAATAATGTAGAATGCAAAGTGTTACACATATTTTCTTAGACGTTATTTCTAATTAATTTTAACAGAGTAATTATGATACTTATTTTTTGTGAGGAACTTGAGAAATAGCTACAATGAGTCAAAACCACAGATTTGAATTAGGGGACTAGGCATGTGTAAGTAGTCCGTCACCTGACGGTGTTGGGCGCGAGTTGCCCCGTCTCAATTTGTTGGGACATGACATGCCGCTCGCTACCTTTGAGTGACATGTCATAAAGTTTTTGTGCCATCTCCTTCATCCCTTAGTTTGACGCCAAAATGAGCCCGGAGGGTATGGTTCTCGAGAGTGTGGGGGGTTTTCCTCAAAGGAACCTCAATTGAGTTAAGGGTGTCGCCACCTTTGGTGGATAGGTTCATCCGGGTGGGTCCCACTTCTATACCTGCCTCCTTTTGGGAAACCCTGATGGTCTGGCAGTGATGCTGGGCTAGATGGACAAATGAAGTAGATCGGGTGCTGGGATCAAGCCCGCTGGGGGTTTCTGGGGATCTATCGCCCTGGTTATCCCTGGTTTCCCAGTGAATGGGTTGGCTTCGATCGGGTAGTGGTGTAAATAGGTGGTTGCTGATGGTCCCCTTCCTCCTGGCTTTGATGGCGTGTTTCAGCCTGTCAGGGATTAGATAGGTCCCAAGTGTTGCTTGCACTGTGTTGCGTTCAGGGCATTCCATTATGGTCCTTCAGGGTTACAGCCCTGGTGGAACCCATTTGGAGTGTATGTGCGACCAAGTAATCAGTATCCCTGGTTAAGATTGAGGGGTACCCTCTTTCTGAAGGGTTGCTTCGGCAGCCAGTGAGCTTGATGGCCTTAAGTCATCCACCCATGGTGTGTTCAAGGTTGGTGCGTAAGCTCCGGCCGACACTATGGGTCCGGGGTTGAGTATTAGTTACCGGGTAGCCGTCGGGGTGTCTTGGCTCCTTCGACAAAATGAACATGGACAAAAAAATGAACATGGCTAAAGAGGGTGCCACCGAAGTTAGCGCTTGAAGGTGAGAAGGGTATGGAGGTAATTGTAGCAGACTATAGGGATCTGCTACACACGACCAAAGTGCTTCTCTGTACCGACAGGCGTCTGGCTAAAGTCGAAGCCTCTAAAGTGTTTGTTCAGATAGAGCGGCAAAATCCTGGCAACACGACCAGAGATTGGCATGTCATTGGTGGGAAGGAGATGGATGATCATCAGATACTTGTTCTTGCCATTGATAAAATGAATGTGCAGGTTCTATAAGATCGTGGCTGGATCATCTACCTGGGCCTGGGGAAATTGCAGCTCAGAGTTATCTCTGGTGATCCCTCTGTTGACCCAGGTCCTACAGGCGAACCTACAACACAGTAAGGCTACCACGGCTGTGTTCTGTCTGAGCACGGTAAGCAGTCCTTAGATCTTGCTTTGATTCAGGAACCCTGGGTCAATAATTTTAGAATATAGACTTACCTCATACATGCTGTCGAAGTAGACTGGTTCATTGTATCCTCGCAGTATCCAAGGATGGTGCCTCAACTCGTCCACTGTGATTCTCTTGGCAGGATCAGTCTGTAGCATGGCTCTCAGTATCTGACGGCTTCCTTCAGACAGGTAGTCTGGGGTTGTATACTTGCCACTCTATACAACAAATAATGTCTCATTACAATCATCATGAATAGCCTACAATTCCTTAAAAACCTCAAGTTTACCACTTGAGTCTTAAGTTTCTTTATTAAATTACAGAACCTATATGACTAGGTAAGCGGTCTCAGGTCTGCCAATTGATCGGAGCAAAAAAAAAAAATTTAAACAATTTTAAAAAAGGGGTGAGAAGTCCACTGTACTATACATCCACGTGTTTACAATGGACTATTTAATTAATAATTTTGATTTGATTCTCGCTAGTTGGTTCTAGAAAAGCTAACCCTTGATATTGGACACTTTAGGTGAACCTGAAGAAAACTCAATCTTCCTTAGTTGAAAATGTGGTCAGTGACAGTGAAATGTTCTAATGTTTTGGTTATGTAGTCTAAAGTGTTGTGTTTCTTGTGCGAGTTTGAACTCTTCCTTATTCAGGAAAGTCTGCTATTCTCACAAAAAAAATCTTGAAACCCCCATGTGCTCTGTCAAACATCTTTAATTGAAATAGTTTGTTTTAGTTCCTATTTACATTTATCAATATTGTTTGATGTTAATAAAAACATTAAGTCAACATCGGCAAACATAAATATTTTCAACATCAATCACCTTTAAAAACTAGATATCTTTAATCCTACTAATATTATAAATGAGAAAGTTTGGATGTATGGATGTATGTTTGTATGTTTGTGACAAGTGAACGCGAAAAATACTGGTCGGATTGGGCTGAAATTTGGCATGATGATAGCTCACATTCCCGATTAACATATAGGCATATTCTTATTTCAAAAATCCTTTCGGGCTCCGCCCCAGTGGCTCTGGAGTTTCCCATGTTAACCTAATGAGAAATGGAATTATTGAATCTTAACAGCTGTTTCAATTAAACAAGTTGGTTCTGTTCTATGATATTCAATAGCATTGAAGTTACAAGGATTACCAACAGGGTGCAGCACTATTATTTCTTTTACATTTATGACAATAGCTAATTTGCAACCAAAAGGTGAATGAGCGTAGTGTAGCGAACGAACTTCAACCTGGAGGCGAGTTAGCGTAGCGAACGAGCTAACCTGAAGGCAAGTGAGCGCAGCGAACGAGCTCCAACCTAAAGGTGAGTGAGCGTAGCGAACGAGCTCCAACCTAAAGGTGAGTGAGCGTAGCGAACAAACTTCAACCAGGACGTGATTGAGCCATGCGAACGAGATAATCTTGAAAATTAAGAAGTTAAACGGGGCAAAGCCCGCGGGTTACAGCTAGTACTTTATAACTTTATAGTATATTTCATAACTAGAGTTGAAAGTGAGTCATTGTATATTTGAGACCATTTTTGAAGTGCGAGATTTATCGAGCACTTTAATTGGTCGAGAATATGTATAGACCCACTTTCACTTGTTTTGAACGCTACACTACAAAGAATAATAATTTTCTTCATTACAAAAGTCATAGCATTTTTTAAGTTATGCCTTTAATTTAAAGTTAGGCTAATATTTACATGTTGACAAATTAAACAGTTGATAAAACAATAACAAATATTTGTTTGTTTACATAGGCAAAAACCAAAAAAGATTAAGATAGTTTACATTCTTTTGCCGTAGTAAACAATGTAATGATAGATTTTTACAAGTGATAAACATGTAACGAAAACAAATCGTTTCACAGTAGTTTAGTGAAAAAAGAAAAAAAATACTTTTAACTGAAATGGTGACCATACGAACGTAGGTTTTTTAAGCCATGTGTGTAGAATCTTGTAGTCTTGTTACTGACTAAGGCTGACATGTTAAAACAGCGAATGGTAAAACAACCTGTTTCTAATAGCCTATTCATCATGGATTTGGATGATCGTCGATTTGACAGCTTGATTGTAAGTTACAACGGTTGTTTTTGAATTATTTGTTTTTAGTTCTAATTTAGATTATATAAAGTAAATCTGTAAAATACTTTTTCTATTGAATCAGTGGTAGTTTCAAAACGTCCTATGATAGATTTTGCAAATTCTTAGAACAATGGTCTTCGGCCGAATGGTTTTTTCTTTTCACTGTTTAGAAAGTAAATTGGCTGGTTTATAAACTATGGTGAATTAGTTATGAATCAGTGAGTGAGTGAGAGGGCTTTTACTTTTATATTTTTAGACTCTAAGATTCTCCGTTTACATTACATTGTTAATTGGTAGTTAATAAACGTTGTTAATAATCTTGGAAAAATACAAGCCTAGTGTTGAAAATAAAAAATTAGGTTATTTTTAAATTGTATCCAGGCATTATGAAATAGTGTTTGGATATATTTAAAAAAATCCTCAATGTTTGTCGAAATTACCTTTGACTTAGGTATGTTCAGCTGTTATTGCGTGATGCGATTAGCCTACACAAAATTTGCATAAGGCCCAATCTCAATGAGCTCCGCTTAGTTATAATTTATAATTAATAATATCAATTAACCACAATTTTAATTTGCTAGTATTCATTGTATTGTAATAGACCTAAGCATAGTTTGTAATTTAACATGAGTGCAGGGACTATATTAAAGGACTAAATTTAAAGCACAACACCTGCAAGAAAACATTTTTTTAAACATTTTAACCAGGGTGTCCAGCAAATGGGCTCGGCCGAATTCCCGCATATTTTCTGAGTAAATAAATACCTTTTTTCTCAAGGCATTTTTTTAGGGCAAATTTTATCAAAAGTTTATCAAATTGAAAACAAAAATTAATATGCAATACGAATAAAAAGAGTGCACACAATCATGCAAAACCGCTGAAAAACAGCGCACATTACCACTTAAAAAAGTCCATCTATGTGGCAGAAGAGGTAAAGCCTCTAGGTGGACAAATACTTATTAAGGTCAAGGTTAAGTCGATACCGGCAATGGGCAATAGAGACAATAGTTGCGCATTAAACTAGAGCTACAACCAAAGGTAGCACTGAATGTGAGAATTGAGGGGCGTTTGCCGCCATATCTACTGGGGGTAGGGGAACATTTAGTACTTTGGAACTAGGGGATTGCGGGATTTCCAATGAGCTGGTTGATTCTTCCAGTGATACCAACATAACAACATTTTACAGCGTCACGATTTTCTAGCAGAGATGCCGTGCCAGTGCTACCTCCATTTGGATGTTTTCAGTCTAGGACTATTTCGTTTCCTAAAAAGCAAGAGCAGTTCCCTGATTCCGTTAACTTATTAGACTTGGATACGACACAATAGTATCCAAGACACCGTCTGACACTATCTGAAAAGACACCACAATATATGGGGAGGAAACTCTACAATACACTACCCAGCAAGTTGAAGGAAATAATAGAGGAGAACGGCTTTAGAAAAAAGTTAAAGCATGTTTTGATACAAAATATGTATTATTCAGTTGATGCATTTTTAAATGATAAGTTTTAGAAAAACAACTTGTAAAGGGATAATTCATGTTCTTAAAATGATTTTTGTGAGGTTTGATTTTTTTTTTTTCTGGATACTTATTGCTAGGTGTACTCAATTATGATAACTTTACTGCATTGACAATGTCATCTATTCTGTTCTAGCTTTGCTAGTTGTTAAAGAATGTACTGTTATGACAATAAAGATATTCTTATTCTTACGATAAATAACTGAGAGCGCATGATAATCTTTAGCCGGCATGAACTACGTCGGTTGTCTGATTCAGAATTTAAACATGGATGATACTAACAACAAAACATTAACCATGGCAACTTCCTTAAAAATATGAGTTTTTATACGGAATCGGTATCGAGAATCGTGAGTAATATTTCAGAACTGGTATTAAATCGAGAAATTCTGTTATCGGCCTATCCCTACTTATAATACAATTAATATTCAACTAGGACGTAATTCAAGCCATGACCATGAGTTTTGAGACCGAGTTTGGCTTTGTTCCAGCTATGCGTGGATCGACACTGCTGCTACACGCTACTGTTATTACAGAGCTGATGGTGAGTCGGTGTATTCTGTTGCATCTATAATCCAAATCTTCTGTAGATATACATTCACTATTAAAATTTGTGGGTAAATTGGCTCAAAATTGTTATAACTATAAAATTCCTCTAAAATAAACGTACATAATGATATTTATTAAAATTCACAGAAAACCCCCGAATAATACCATTTTCACGCATAATTCCCGATTTTCCCAGGAATTCCTGGTCGCTGATAACCCTGTCCTTCTGTCGCCTTTTGGTGCGATTTGTATCGGCGAATTCTGTTGCATCTATGCAATCCAAATCTTCTGTAGATATACATTCACTATTAAAATTTGTGGATAAATTGGCTCAAAATTGTTATAACTATAAAATTCCTCTAAAATTTACGTACATAATGATATTTATTAAAATTCACAGAAAACCCCCAAATAATACCGTTTTCACGCATAATTCCCAATTTTCCCGGGAATTCCTGGTCGCTGACAACCCTGTCCTTCTGTCACCTTCTGGTGCGATTTGTATCTAGATTTTTTGAAATATTATACTATAATAAGAAGGGATTTTCAAATCGTCTCGTTCCTAGAGGCTGGCATTTCTCATTACGAGTCCGTCGGCAGTTGGCACTCTAGCTACGACAATGGAGCGTCTCTGAGCGAGACGCTCTACAGAATTTTAAGGGTTTAGGTGAGCTTTTAACATATTCTAATGTTGTGTGTTGTTTTACTGTTTTTGATTTTCTACCAACACCTTGTTAGGGGGAAAAAAACAATGAGTGAAGATGAGAAGTTAGGTTATTTTTATTTAATTAACTGTAGGCCTACCGTTATTTGTTTGTAGAGAACGTCGATTTTTTCACTCTCAAAAGGAAGACAACCACACAGCAATGCATACAACATGACACCCATGCTCCAAACATCAACAGCAGCACCTGAAAATAATCTAAACATTATACACGGAATACATACTTGAATGGAGTGAAATCGGTTACTACTAGTAAACCTGACGCATGGAATCTTGCACAATCTAGACATAGGAAAAGAAGTATATTGATCTTTTTTATTTACTGTTTTCACATTTCTTAGTTTTATTGTTAAAAGGTGGAGATGGTAAAAGGTCTAATTGAGTTTGCAGTTACGTGCCTCGTCCAGACACATAATGCGTCCAAAAATCTAGCAGCACGACTTCCTTTCCCCTACCACCAGAGCGATAGGGATTATTGGGATTCGCTTTAACCTTTCATCTCCCCTTCATAGGAAAGGTTTCATTACTTTTCTTTCTTAGTTTTTTCCCTCACATTTCCCTAGCTACTTTCCTAAACAATTGTTTTCTTGTCTCTCATCAAGTTTTAAAGTATTTTCTCATCTCCAGACATTTCCTATCCAAGTTCTTCCTGTTCTCTCCTATTAGCCTCCTGAAGTGGACAATTCATAAATACGTGACTCGTGGTGTCTATTTCTCTTCTCCTCATCTGCACACTTCCTCTTCCACTTCCACCAGGTTCATCTATAGAATTTCGCCTTTAAATTTTCTATGTCCTGTGACAAACTGCATTCAAAAATGGCCCAAATCTCAATCTTGTTCTAGTCTCCTTCTGATGTTTGGCATATCCAAACGTTTACCTTTATTTCTCACTCTGCTCTCAGCGCATTTGCCACTCACCTTAGGCCTACACATAGCACATCTGTCTGAGTTGATGTTTAAGTTCAGCCTTCTTCCTATTGTTAGTATGTGAGTCCACTTCACAACCGATCAGATCTGGACGACCTTTTGATTTGTCTCCTGTGAGTTTGGGGTTTAACTAAGGTTCAGTGCCTCAATCTGAAAACAAACTGACTCGTATTCGAGCTTTAAATATAATGTTTGGATACTGCAATGTCAAGTTTATGTGCTGATGGCTGGTATCAACTTACCAAGGTACTTGTCGCCTTTGATCAGCTCTGGGGCAGCGTAAGTGGGAGAGCCACAAGCTGTGTAAAGTTGCCAATCCAGTTCAGGCTGCGGCTTGGCACACAGTCCAAAGTCAATCAGCTTCACACACTGATCTCGATCCAGAAGTACATTCTCCTGTGCAACATTTATACATCAACAAACTAACTAGGGTTGCTTTCAGAGAGGTGAAAGCCAGTTGAGCGGAACAAACGTGATTTGAGATTAAATATCGATTTCGATGCGGTTCGATATATCGCTTATTAAATTCTGATTTCTAACATTGGCTGTTTCTAATCAGCTGGCAACACATATAGGTTCCCAAGAAAGTAGTCACCGGTCCGTATCCCTCCGCTCCTTGTCTATGCTCCGCGTATTGAGAAAGTAGTTCCATATATTTTTTTCGATTTGCAGTGAATTCCACGCCTTAAAAAAATGTTTTAACGGTATTTTCTGGTTTATTAAGATCATAGGTATGGTTTAAAAACGTTTAAAAGAAAAGTCTAGAAGGTTCAGAAATACCTTATGGGTATTTTGTTTACATTTTTCTTGTAAACAAAAAACCTGTCATGGCTACTTTAGTCCCATAAGCCTAATGTTAAAAATTGGAAATTTTAAGTTCGTTTTAAATTGCATTAGCAATATCTAATTGAAATTTGTTTGTTTAAAAACCATCTCACTATTAGTCTAAGTAATTTTGTTAAGTTTTACTAAAATGCGTTCAGCCGTTATTGAGTGATGTTTCTCTATTTGTTGCATTGAAGTTGATCCCAAAGAGCTTCGCTCGCTCCGCTCAATTATTACTTAATATTTTGAAAGCAACATTTTTTATAAAGATAAAGGTAAACTACCTCCAAAATTAATCCGGTTCACATATTTTTTCTCAATTTTAAATGCAATTTCCTAAACACAACTTTTCAATTTGTTGAATGAGATGTTTTTTTTTCACATATAGCAATAATAGCAATGCTATTGCAGATAGCGATAACCTTTCTTGTAGGTTGAATTTAGTTTGTTTGTACATGTTTTAGGTTTTGTATTTACCAAGAAAAAAAGTTTATGTAAGATCAGAGTTACCATGGCCCAAACTGGATTCAAACACTCAATCGATGGTGCTATCACATGGCTGGGAAGATGATGCCATATAATTTATTTTCCTCATATCTGTGCCAGTGGCATTTTAGTAATGAAGTAAAGTCAAACACTTTTAAGGGATAATCGGTCCAAAACCCATTGAAATGTTTTTTGCATGTGCCGGGAATTGAACACATTCCTCCCACACTTAAGTCCAGAACTCTAACCTAACCACTAAGCTAAATAAATACAGAATACCCCCGTCCATTAGCCCAATCATACCTAATAACTCTCCTCTCTTTTACATATTAGAATAGAATTTTATACTAGATTAAACTTTTTCTTAGGGATGGACATGTCCTGAAATTTCCGGGGAAAAAATATTTCCGATCAATAGGACGGGTTAACATTTAAATCGGGGTTTTCTCAGGACGTGATTTGATCCGATCTTCGGCAATTTTGGCGAGTGAGGAGGAAGGTGTTTTTGAGATCGTGGGAGATATGATGGCGGCTGATGATTATGTCTGCGGCTGCAAAATAACATCACGATAGTCCTACAAACCCAGGAGGCGATAACGATGTCTCCGTAATTGTGGGAAATGTTTATGATGGCACCGCGAAGGGTATGTCGAAGATTGTGCCGTGCGTGACCGCAGGACTTGTCAAGGAAGACATTGTGACTGCAAATCATGTTCATGATGGTGCCGTGCCCGAAGGAACACCGCTTTTTAGTTGACAATGGTGCTGTGACTAAGAGGCATGTTGATGAAGACGCCATGAATGCGAGTCATGTTGATGATGGTGCCGTGACCGTGAGGTAAGTTCACGATGGTGCTGCGAACACAGGACACGTTGACAAAGGGGCAGCGACAGCAAGACATGTCAGGTGGTGCCATGAACGCAGGACATTTCGAAGATGGCAATGCGACCACGAGATATGTCGACGATGGCGCCAAAATTGCGAGACATGTCTGCGGTGGTGCTGTGAACGCAAGACATTTCTACAAAGACACTGTGACCATGAGTCATGCTGACAATGTGCCGTGACAAGTTCACGATGGCACCGTGACCGGGGGACAAATAGTCTGTTTGAATAGGTACCCGTATGTGGTTAGCTATGGACATTTTATAAGGAGACTGATGTTTCACAGTTAAATTGTACCCCATCTGAATTGTTTTTGCAATATCTGTGTATTTTTACATTATGTTGGTGTTTTGTAGATGCCTCAAAGGCTGAAATAAGATTTTTTTGTAATTTTAGCGAATTTCCCATATAGGGAATAAGCTATTACCGTAGTACTCATGGTAAGACCTGGACGCGGGACCGATTTTTTTTTTCGTTTTGAGGTCCCTAGAGGCCAAAAACACCATCCATTCAAATTCATATATATATATATATATATATATTTATATATATATTTATATATATATTTATATATATATATATATATATATGTGTCCGTTAGCACGATAACTTGAGCAAAAATGATCTGATTTTGATGAAATTTGGTACAAACGTGTAAACCTACGTTTATTCGAACGAGTTCGCGATCCAGCATGATCGGACCATGGGAACGGGGGTTTACGGGGGGTTTTATGGGGTAAAAATAGGTTTTTCCCATTTTTGACCCAAAAAACATAAAATTTAGCAATTTCTTTCCAAACTATTTTGTAGAGCTTAAAAAAACAAATAATTTAGTATATTGAAGCGTTATTATGCGCCTAATGGTTACGGAGAAAATTCAAAAAAATTGTAAATTTAAAATTCCCATGTTATTCTTATGGAGAATAAGTAAACTGTTGTAGTTTGCTTGTTTATGAACATATTTTGATAAAATTTGGAAAATGTTTTTATTTCTTACTAACTATTAACATTTTACAAAAAAAAGTTTTACCCTCCCTGATGCAGCAAACCTAAGTACTTGTTAAACTAATTCTATTTAAATCGGGAATAACTGTTATATATTTTTAACTAGACATTTCAGTGTAAATCAAATCAGTCAAAAGGAAATTCGCTTAGTCTGCAGGTTTGCTGCGGCGGGGGTATTTATATCTGCAATGATGTTTACTCAAGATTATTAAAAAAGCATTTTTTGCACTTACAAAAAAATATCCAGTCCGTTCCCGTCCCAAAATTGGGAGTTATAATCCTGTCCTGTCCTATCCTGAGCTCAAAATTCAATCCTGTCCATCCCTGCTGATTTGCATTTATTTACAATGGTAAGCTTAAATCTTTCCTGTTCAACTATACCCCTACTCAACTTTCTGTTGTTGGAATTTTTTCTTCAGTAGCCCATACGTGGAGCTCAACGTATTTCAAAATATTTAATATTATGCTAAACTGGCTTATGATTAGTAAAGTACAAACTTAGACGGATACTAACCGGTTTTATGTCTCTATGGACGAAACCTTTGCTGTGTAGAAAAGCAACAGCTGACAGAATCTGGCGGAAAAATGACCTTGACGTCATTTCACTAAGTCGGTTACATTGTACTAAAAAGGAAAACCATCCTTTTAGTTTTAACATGATTTAAATGCAATAACAATACAAAGGAAGAAAGGAACATAAAGTAATATGACAAGAGTCATAGAGCCTCCTCTAATTCAAGGAACTGAACTCTGGCGAACCTGAAATAGATGTTGCACTAATTTATGTTGGAGCTGAGGCACAATATTTATTTACACATTTTTATTACTAAGAAGATTATTACAATGACATTAGGTATGAAGCAAAGCTAATGAAAAAGAGGTTGGCTAGGACACACGTATGTTGTCACCCGCCGAACCGGATGTGCTGCTTTTAATTTTCACACAGATGGCACCTGTCAAATTCATTGTTATTTTTAAGATATGTTCAGTGCAATTACGTAATTTTCTTTCTGGTTTTATTTCTTCCGTTTTATATTCTTTTACTGATTCAATTTTTATTTTCTTTCTTGTTTTATTTTGCTTTGTTTTATATTATTTTCTTGTTTAATTTTTAGTTTTAATTTATCTAAAGTGGTTGAAATGCCTGGATGTGTTGTTGTAGTCTCAATAGTCAAATGCAAACCCGTGAGTTACATAGTGACAGACCTAATAATATAGTTTATCATTATTTTCCTAAGGACAAAGAACAATGCAAACAACAAGCCTACTGCTGCAAACGGGCAGATCAATAATTTAATCTGCACACTTCCGTAATTTGTTCTGAACATTTTACTTACGTCGATTATCAGCAAGATTTGAAAGCTGAACTGTAAAATTTAGCCCTGTTCTTAAGCCGCATTTCCATCTGTCAGAGCTTATGTTTAAATATTTTGAACAAGAAGAATAAATTTTCAAAACTTTAAATATGGAAAATGAAAGTTGCAATGAAAATGGCAATTTATTAGTATGTAGTCTATTTTGCCTACTAAAAAAATACAATAAAACTTTCTATAAAGTTATTGCTGGTCCTATAAAGTTTCTAAAAAAGTTATTGCTCGTTTTAGGTTTAAACAGCTTTTTACTACTTTATTGGTTTAATACCAGAGGGAAATAAATAAATAAATTGAGAGAAATATAAAATTTCCATTGCCAAGAACAAAACACAAGCTACAGATTTGACAATCAAGATAGATCTCTTACCTATGTGGTCAAACAGTTCCCCTCCAGCACAATATTCCATCACAAGAAAGAAGTGAGTGTCAGTCTCAATGACCTGGTAAAGTCGACAGATGTGATGATGTGTAAGACTTTTTAAAGCTTCCAATTCCATCTTTACTCGAGGTAGGTCATCCTTTTAAAAAAATGAGAATGACTATGTAACAGTTATTACGATATATGTCTACCTAGCCGTTTTATACATTGCTGCTCCTCTGGCTTAAGGGGGTGGAGACTGCGCCTCTGTCCTGCATGCAACCTACTCACTGTATATGTAGGTACCTTTGGTGTTAAATGTATTATTCAAGCATGATTTATTTTATTTAGGTAGCACCAAGAGAGTAAAAATGTAAAATAAAATATCAACCTCTACCTATAAGGTTTACAAAACCTAGATAATATTTCTTATTTCAATAAATCCCTCAAGTAATATTTATTTAAAAATTATCGAGCAAATCTGCCCTATGTTCATGAAAACAGCTGTGGCATTTGTTACAAAATGAGCTTGAATGGTCTAGGCCTACCACTACACTACAAAATGACAATACTGGTCAAATGGTCATTACATAGATAGATTTATTTTATAACTAAACATTATACATAAAATGCAATAGATCATGTCAATAAATAGTAAGCAAATCAGAGAGATACATGCAATCAAGCTACATCAATTAAGGTTTACATGCACGATAAATAAGCAGGCCTACCTATAAGATAAGTAATACATACAGGCTTACTAGGCCTAAATAATATATGCACTAGTAATAAAGTATAAAATAAGTTAAATCACAGTAGGCGGCATACTTGAATAAATAATGCAGACAAGGAAGCTAGGAATAAAAGTTTTACAAGTTGGAAATTTACACAAAAGATAAAAAATCACAATATAAAATCACAGATAAAATAAATCGATGTGGTAAAAAAAAAGTAGGTAGGCTAATATCACAGGCAAAGAATTCTTCAATACTGTAGAAGGGTGTGACTGAAAGCCACCTGTGGAAAGTACTTTTTTGAAACGGTCAAAATCAGCCAGACGGGCTTCAAAAGGCAGCCTGTTAAACAATTTCACACCAACGTGTTCAAAAGAATTGAGTACCTTGCTCAGCCTGGTGTAGGGTCTAGCTATTGAATTACAATTTCTTGAGTTATAGCTATGAACGTTTCTATTAAGAGTTAAACTGTTACCGGTAACATTTTTCTTTGTGTGAAGCATGACAGAGATGTAGAGGTTTACAATTACATCTTTTCTTGTATAAAAAGTGGTCTGCAGTGATATTTATAATCTGAATTAGTCATTATTATAATACATTTCTTTTGGGCGAGAGGTACATCGATCACAAAAGGGCTATTTCCCCAGAGCAAGAGACCATAGGAAAAGGCACTTTGAAATAGACTTAAGTAGACAGTTTTAACATAGTCAGAGGATACACAATTCAATTACATGCACATTCCAGGATAATTTAGGGTCTAAGTGAATACTTACACCCAAGCACTCTTTATCCATAATTTTAATAGCAACTTTCTCGCCTGTCAATATATGCTTTGCAAGCTTGACTTTGGCAAATCCTCCAGTTCCAATTGTCTTTTCAGTTTCATATTGGTTTTTTAGAGCCATATACCTGACCATCTTGATTTGTTTTCAAACCTGTAAGCAAATAGTAAATTACAATACATTTAATCACCACTGTAGGGCCTAAGTCTTTAACTAGACATATTCAATGCAAAATTCCTGAAACAACTAAGAGAAAAAGTAAGCTTAGCCTAAATCCAAAAAATCTACTGAAATTGTTATAAACAAAATGAAGGCTATGTTATATGAACTGTATCAAACTTCTTGCGCTAGGCCTACCAACTGAATTTACAGAATTAAACCCACTTAAAAACTGCTTCCCGACAGAGAAAAAATAGAATACAACATTCTACAAAATTGAGAGCAGGTAAACTTGTTGCGATATTAGGCTAAGTTATTGCTCACAAACAGTTGTCCAAAGAGCTAGGAGACCTGTACGATTTCGCACAAATAAGATAGGAAACTGTATTTTTTAGCTTATTCAACATTGAATAATACAAGTGATTACTATAGGCTTCATCAGTTACATATCTGTTTATTCATTTTAGAGAATTTCCCATATAGGGAATAAGCTATTACCGTAGGTCTCATGGTAAGACCTGGACCCGGGACAAATTAACTTTTTTGTTCTGAGGTCCCCAGAGGCCAAAAACACTATCCGTTCAAATTCATATATATATATATATATATATATATATATATATATATTTATTTATAAATGTGTCCGTTAGCACGAAAACTCGAGCAAAAATGATCAGATTTCTTGATGAAATTTTGTATAAACGTAGCCTACCGTAAACATACATTTATTCAAACGAGTTCGCGAACCAGCATGATCTGACTATGGAAACAGGGGTTTATGGGGGGTTTTATGGGGTAAAAATGAATTTTTCTCATTTTTCACCCTGAAAACATAAAATTTTGCAATTTCTTTCCAAACCATTTTGTATAGCTCAAGAAAACAAATAATTTAGTATATTGAAGCATTGTTGTACTACATGCCTAACAATAACGGAAAAATCGCAAAAAAGTGTAAATTTAAAATTACCATGTTATTCTTATGGAGAATAAATAAACTGTTGTGTAGCTTGCTTGTCTATGGACATATTTTTATGAATTTTTTTAAATTTTGTTTACTTCATACCCTACTACTAAGCTATCAATATTTCAATAAAAAAACCAATTTTCTTCCCTGTTCAGTAGACTCCCTCTTATCCTGACACCTTTTAACCGGACATCGGTTTAACCGGACTACACTCGGCGGAAATGACATCTCTTTAACCAGACAATTTTTATCAGCAAGTTGGTTTAACCGGACTAAATCAGCAGGAAGTGTTCTCGTGGGAAAGATTTGAGACCAGTGATCACGTGTCTAAATACAATGCTCTCCTAAATTTAAGGCCTGCCCAAACTGCCGCGGTACGCGGTCTGAGGTAGCCTACGGGTATTTTACCGCCTCGACAGATGCACCGCTAGCCGTATAGGGTGCCCACACTGACGCGGTAAACGGTAAGCGGTAGCGGGCGTAACTCATTTGCAATTGAATGCTAGGTGTGTTGCATTACATATTCCTGTCTCTTGGATATGTAAGATGTATTCGTCTTCAGATGAGGAAGAAATATTGTTAAAGATACTAGGTACTAGTTAAAAGATAGGCTAGTAGGTGAAGATACACTGCAACATGTAGAAATTATAATATATATTTATTATTTAATCGAGAAGATGTTCAGTTTTCATATGGGACAGTGATATGCAAAATGGATTACTGACAGTACCATACAAATTAATATTTTCTAATGAAAAGTCAAACGTCAATACTCTACAAATACGTGTCACGCAATCCTTAGCCTATATATAATACTTGAAGGCGATTTCTATGAAACACTACTCCACCGTTAATAATGGACAGATTTTTACAAACGATAAGTCAAAATGAAGCATTGTTTGAGTAGATGCCCCCTTTCACCAATTCCTGTAATAAAAGTCCTCAGGGCTTTGCCCCACAAGCCATCAAAATCCCAATGTATTTCTTATGGATCAATTTTGTTTACTTTTAAAAACAGATGAATAAATTGTATTAGTATTAATTACAACTGTTCATAGTAAACACATGACACACACAAGAGCGTTCGTTTTCAGTTTATATAACTGGAGTGGAGTGATTGATTACATTATCTTTGAGTTGACTCTTTTAAGTCATTGGACTGTTATTCGTTTTGAAATAACGCCCGTAATACTTTGCAATTGCTTGAATTCGAGCAACAGGTGCACTAGTCTTTAATATTGTGTGAACGTAAGTACGGACACGTTGTCCCCTCCCTCATTAAGTATATGAGGTGTGGTTTGCACAAAACGTCGGGATTAAATCCGTGGACTGCAATCACTGGAGTTGTCTGCAGAAAACGAAAGTATGGGGATAGGAGAGGGTGTCTCACTGCTTTCCTCAACTTCCTCCAATTCCAAGTCCAGTATGATTTGTCGAATTCTCCTTTTGGCGAGGATTTGCCTTTTACGCGAGTTTTTTTATGGTTTTCGCATATCCCAGCAAGAGATGATCTGTGTCGTCCATTTCCATGCGGGGGGGTTTACTTTCCAAGTGATGGATCACCTTTTCCGTGTTTGTTGGAGTTTGACGTTTTCTTTTCCTTAATGGCTTATATTGGAGTTAGGTATCATTATTACAACTAGTATTCACAATAAAATTATTTTATTCTATTTTTTATTCTTTATGTTTTTAAAGTCCTTGTGACTAAGGTCATACAGCACGGTGGAAGGAAAATACATAGGTGTGCTATTCCCGTCATATTCTGACGTCAATCGGATTGCAAACAAAATATCACCTGATTGTAACTGTCAAATTAGTACCTATATGTATTTGTTTTGACTTGGTTGTTATTGTTTTTATTGTGTGTTTTTATAAAAAAATTACAATCAAATCAAAACAAATACATACTAATTTAACAGTTACAATCAGATATTTTGTTTGCAATCCGAGTGACGTCAGAATAGGACGGGAATAGCACACCTATGTATTTTCCTTCCACCACGATACAGCACTGGGTACAGATACACAGTTTCTATTAAACGATCCGTAGACATGATGCTTAACTGACTCTCAACTAACAAATGATCTACACTCACACTGAGAATATGCGTACCGCTGAAATACCGCGCAGTAAAAGTGGAGCATGCAGCATTTTTGCGACACGAGGGTAAATTTTACCGTACCGGTGGCGGTATACCGCACCAGTGTGGGCGCTCCCATTAGGTCACGTTGTTCTAATATACCCGGCGGTTTACCCTTACCACATACCACGGCAGTTTGGGCGGGCCTTTTATGTCCGATTTTGATGAAATTTGGTTTAAAGGAGTAAGGCGGGATAAACTTGAATGAGTTCAAGAAACCAGCATGATCGGACCATGGGAACAAGGTTTAACGGGGGGGTTTTATGGGCAAAATACGGTTTTTCTCATTATGATCCTCAAAACACAAAATTTCCTAATTTCTCTAAACATTTCGAAAGAGCTTAAAAAAACAAATAATTTAGTAAATCAGTATTTTGTACCGGTACAGTTATTGGTACGGTAACGGAGAAAATTCAAATAAATTTAAATTTCAAATTCCTAGATGTTAGAGGTCGTGCGGAACGAGGTGAAGCCTGAGATTTTCGGCGGGAACGGTCTAAAGCGGAGAAATCCATGGTGGGGGTAGGAGACGAGCCGATCGTCGCCTCGCATAGCGACACTTCCCCCGCCACACCACTATTCCCCTCCAAGCTTCACCTCGTTAATCCATACGACCTCTACCTATTCGTAAAACGTAAAATGTTGTAGTTTGCTTGTTTATATGGATATATTTTGATCAAACTTGGCAAATTTATTTATAGGTACTAAGTTAAGCTATTAGCCTATAAACTTTTACTAAAAAAACCACTTTAATAGTTTTCTTGTAGCAGCAAACCTAGGTAGCTAAGTTACTCATTAAACCTAATGTTATTTAAATAGATTTAACCTAATTGAAAATCAATTCAGACGAATGGAAATTAGCTTAGGCGGCAGGTTTGCTGCGGTGGGGGTATTTTAATTTTAAAATCAGCCTTATGGGTTGCCATGATAGTTACAAAATAACAACGTAAGTGTAAACAAAACAAAGAATCTTGGCATAGGCCTATAAGTTTTAGTTAAAATTAAGCCAGATCTAAGTAACTTAGGCCTATCCTCAGTAGGGCAGATTGATGACAGGCCCTGGTTAGTTAGGTCTAGATTACAAAATATCAAAACCAAGTAAGTTAAGCTTAGGCCTAAATTTGGTATTTGTAGCTTAAGCTTTTTCAAAGGCTGAAGTAGCCTACCGGTACGTTAAGTTACTGTAAGCTTAAATTTAGGCCCACGAATGCTGTTCGGCTTCAAATTCGGGTTAAGCTGAATTCGGCTAACTAATAGCCTAAGTTTAGTTCCTTAGGGTCCGAGTCTGTAGGCATACTAGGCCTAGGCTATTTTTTGTTAGGCCTAAATCAAGCATGATGTAAGTTAAAAGCCCAAACAAGTTAAAGTGAGCACAATTTTTTAAAATTTGAATTGTTAAAGTAGTATTTACTACGCTGGTAAGCTCGGCCTAGGGTATTTCAGTTTTAATTTTGATTCTAAGGTAGATCTAAGTTCAGGTTAGACTATTGCACCTAACTTACTTACACCTTGATTTGTTGTTAAAAATCCTTGGATTTCTAATTATAGATGAAAAATCAATCACTTTTTAAATAACAATGTTTATCTGCATTTTTACTTCCAGCCGACAGACATAAATCTTCAAACGTTTTGAATCCAACCATACCAAACCAAACCAGGTAGATGGCAGATTTCATTCAAATTTCAAAGCAATGCAACGAGCGCCGACCGAAACCGACGAGGACGAAACCAAAAACAAAACAACCAATAACGAACGAAAACCAAACCAAGAGTGAGACAGACAAACACCTTGACAACTTGATTCAGGAAAGACTTGCTGAGCTGAAAACAGCAAAGACCTCATTGATTATAGATCTCTCCAGGGATAATATACATACATACATACATACAGCCTCCTCTTCTCCGTAGGTATGTTTTATCTATGTCCGTAGTCTTGAAGACCAGGGAATTGTCAATTCTTGAGGATGGGGTAGGTGTGTGTGATATTATATGGTTTGTGTCCAGGGCATAAAATAACACGATGGGTGACACTTGTGTCACCCAGTGCTGAGATTTTGTAGCCCAGATGCTATATATATGTGCTATATATATATAAATATAGGTGGGGCCTGCATATTTATTTAAATAAATCACATTTTAAATGTATTGGAATTTAAAAGTATTCTAGACCTACAGCAAAAATAGCAAATTAAGGAAACATATACATTAAAAGGTTTCCGCTTTTTTATGACAAGTAAAAATCATATTCTGTCATAATTATCAGTAGGCCTAATCCAAGCCAATTGTCTGCCCAACGTTGGGAAATGGTCGGCACGGTTGAGAAATGGTGGGTGGAAATTCTAACGCCTTGAGAACGTTGGCCCAACAACGGGAACTTGTATATTCGTAGGCTCTGCAAAGGAAAGAATCGTGTTGGGCCTTTTGTTGGATTTAAGAAAAAAACATTCTAAAACACGTTTTAGAGTGAAAATTTAAAAACGTACGTTTTCAGGAAAAGCACTTTGCAAATTCTTTTCCCCTTTTTTCAAAACTTTTATTATTATTTCTATTTCATTAACATTTGTAGTTTCATAAAATGTCCATGGTAACGCAATATCTTTGGTAGTTTTTTTTTAAAAGAGCATCTTTAGTGGAAAAACACAAAATCCTGTCACGACCATAACGGATGTTTAAATGAATATTAAACATAGTTAATATTATTTTTATAACTTTGTTTTGCTATAAACCTATTTACTCTTATGACCATTTATACAATAAAAAGGTCACTGAGCTTTTGGTATATTTGGTTTTTCTGGGAAAAAATAAAAAAACTCAAAAAATTGAAAAAAGCCAATAAAATCTTTTTAAGTTTGTATAACTCCGAAAAAACTTACCTGAGACCCGAAAAATCTTTATGTTTGTATAGAGGTGTGCTTCTTTTGTGTATAAAACATTGAAATATGACGATATTTTAATTTTTGAACTTTTTATGATAGAAATCATAAACGTGATAGTCAGGGACAAGCGGTACGGTCGTGAACTGTCTGGAATAATCTATATCTTTCTAAACAATCCTTCAATTATCCTGTTAGTTATAATAAAGGTCGTGCTCCAAAGTTGAAAATTTTTCCCAAATGGTCGTGACGCCAAATCGAGGGACAGACTTATTTTGTCATGGTAGTCAGTTTTTAATGACAATAAAATTATAATATGCTCCTTTTTTGTAAGTTTAATAACCATTGATGACATAAAAATATGGCTTTATATATTTCGGCATGAATAATTAGTCTAAAAACAGCGTGAAAGTTGGAAAATGCACCCTAGGGACACGTCATGGTCGTGAATTTCGAGACTTTAAAATACGAAAAAAATACCTAGAACCTATTTAAAACCAAATAAATGTGTGTAACATGTTGCCCCCGTCCCAAAAAATATTAAAACACATAATAATAAACTACAAATCCAGTATCTACAAAGTAAAAGGCCAGGGACATGAAAACGTACGTTTTTAAATTTTCACTTTTTAACAAATTGATTGATTCAATTAGAAAATAAATGCTATGGCAGCAGAATATAAGACGATTTTGGAGAAAATTGGACATATAATAAATGTAGTAAGCTAATGTTGTGATAGTTGTGATACCAAAGGGGTGGAACTCATGCTTAAAAATGATAATAATAAAAATAATAAAAATGCAAATAACTTTTTAATTAATATTCCTTAACTTATTTGAACAAATTGTTAATAGTTGAAAAATTGAGGGGAAAGATTAATTAATCATAAATGTAATAATAACATTATAATGGTAATTAATTAATATATATTCAAAATACCAGTATCCTCTTCAACTCCCGAAAAACAATTCTACTACTTGTAGCCTGACCATCAGAATCATAATCGGGTAAAATTTTTTTGAAACGAACGTTTTAGTGTCCCTGGCTTTTTATTTCGTAGGTAGTATTATGTGTTTTATTTTTTCTGGAATGCCCAGGGACTTAGCAATAAATTAGATGACCTAGCTGTAATTTGTTTAGATAATGACATTAGTGCTGTTGCTGTTTGCTGAACACTGGCAAGGTGCTGCTGATGTTTCTTTTTTATCATTGCCCGGTTACACTCTAGCTTCATTTTTCGGAAGGACCAATAGGATACATGGAGGTACAGCAATATTTTTGAAAGAGAACACTGATTATCTTGAAATCCCTCGAGTGAGGGAAGCATCAATTGAAATGGTTTGTGAAGCTTCAGCAGTTGAGCTTGCCAAGGAAAGAATGGTTATACTTTCTGTCTACAGGCCTTACAATGGGGACCCTTTATATTTTAATAACTTTTTAAACTGTCTATATAACATTATATGTCTTTCTTACAAACCCACTTTTAGTTTAGTAGTATGTGGAGATTTTAATGTAAATTTTAACTCTGATAGCAATTTTAAATTTGTTTGATTGTTTTGGGTTAACAATTTCTACCACCGATGTGACTAGGCCAATGTCAGGAAATTGTATTGATAATATAGTCACAGATATACATGTTTCAAAATGGTCTTCAAAGGTAGTTCATACTGTAATTTCAGATCATTATGGTATAATGTTTAGCTTAAACTCATATTTTAGTGTTGATAAGGTGAACAAGCCCAAAAAGTTAGTTAGGCTAGTCAATGATTTTAATGTAAAAATGTTTTTAAATAAGATAAGTCAGATTAATTGGGTAGATGTGTATAGCTTAGGTAAAATACAAGATACATTTAAGACTTTTCATGATTTGTTCCTGTGGGCAGTGGATGAAGCGTTTCCTCTCGTAACTTCTTCCACTAAGTCCAAAAAAGTAGACAACAAATGGTATGACAATAGGTTACATAATTGATTTGTGAAAAAATACAACCGACTTCAAACGCTCTAAAAAGAATGAAATAATTTCAATAAAGTAAACTTTTGTATTAGGCAAGCTCACGTATTTTAAGTCGGCGCGGCTCTATGATGATTTTTGATACAAAATTGAAAGAGGGTGTCCATATTGCATGTGACTATCTATAACTAAAGGTGTTAATCTGCATGTCTTTTTCATAGTTATGCGTTAAGTGTTTTTTTTTATTACCGTAATCAGAGATCGGAATTATAGTGGTATTAACGAGTATCTTTAAAAAGATTATAACGTATTTAAATGTTTCTAACTTGGAAAAGTAACGTTTTAATACTAAACTAGCTTCTTTTCCCTATCATAATATCAAACTAAATTATTTTCCTATTCATATAGAACATTTGTGTGTGTTATTTTCATAATGCATTTATTCTGAAGTAAACATAACATACAAGAAAATATTTCCTTTAATATACAAACAAAACAGTTCAGTATGTTTTTTTATATATTTTTGTTATCCAGCTACAATTGATTTTCAAAATACACACACAATATTTAATTTCAATCATATTTGAAGTTTGAGCCACGCCAACTTGAAATACGTGAGCTTGCCTAATACAAAAGTTTACTTTATTGAAATTATTTTATTCTTTTTAGAGCGTTTGAAGTCGGTTGTATTTTTTCACAAAAATCAATTATTTCATGATTTTTAGTGACTGTATAATTTTTTATATATTAATTACTTGAGGTTTTTTGATAAGCAAAACTGTTTGAAACAATCAAAAGTTCCACAGAACAATCATTACCTATTTTAAAACTGCTTGAGTCACCTGTTGAGGTTACATAATCAATGGGTATGGAAATAAACATCTTTAGATATTCCTTAAGAAAGAAAGAGTTGTCCATTACATTAGGCCTAATGAAAAACTAATTGTCTTTTCTTGATACATTGAAATGTCAGACGTCATCGTTTCCTGGAATCGGTGTACTTCTACATTATAAAAAGAAATACAGTAACGTCTCAAGCCTTTTGGAACAACATGAAAGTTATTCCTCAGCTACCAGCACTAAAAAATCTCTCAAAAGTGGAAAATTGGTCGTTAACACGTATAGTACCTTTGGAAAATATTATATGAAAGATCGGTTCAGCTAAAAGTGGTGTAAGTCATGTAGGGGGTTTTGTTTGCTCAAGATATAGCCTAGTCGAAATTGCAAATCATCTTCCTCTAGGACTTTCCGAAGCAGGCATAATAGTATTGATATGATATAGTAACTGGGTAGAGAATATCAATAAACATTCCACATCTGCAAATGCATGTTTAGTAATTAAAATATTTAACACTTTTAAAACAATTGACGATTATGCACTGTCACACTTCTTAGGTCGAGTAAGGAAAAATTTAATTTAATTTATATTTAGACCTGTTTTACGAATGCTTTGGTTTTCACAATACACCTTTATTTGTCAATATCATACAGCTATTCACTGAAACATATATGTTTTTTTAAGTCAGAATATTCAATACTAAAAACAGAATTACTGTATACACAAATCAGATCAAACGATAAAATACATTTTTTTATAGTAACCAAAACAAAATGCATTTTTCTCAATGTAATTCATTTAGGCTCCATGGAAAGAAATAGTTTATTGATCAATATGAAGCAACTGTTTCATGAAGAATTGTCTGTAGCTTCATTTAATGGTTTCAACTAACAGCTGTAGGAATGCTATCATTATGTATTGCCTTCTCTGCACAAATGTAAACAATCTGCACAAATGTAAACAAAATAAATGTTGAATATTTAAGGTTTTCAGAATTTTTCACCGAAACAAATATTATACTTAAACATAATATATAAGGTACCAA